AGCATCTATGGATGGATATAAATGCGCATGTACTGAACATATTTTAGCCGTCTTTTTGGGGGCTTTCTTTGTAGATGCTGTTTAATAGTAAATCTCAGTGTGGAGTCCTCTGACAGACAGCACTCGATCGCAAATATGATGTTTAACAAACAGCACTATTTGTAGCTAGGCATATCTTTATGTAGTATCTTAGTTCTATTGATTCTGTTTTTGTTTCTTATCATTTATAATTATTTCTGTAATGATTTTACTTATTTTGAAGGTCTAGATAATATATATTTTGACAGCTGAATCTAAAAATAAAGGTCAGCAATTAATTTTTTTTTTTTTAAAACGGCGTGGGGTCCCCCCTCCCATCCATACTAAGCCCTTCAGGGATGGTTTGGATCTTAAGGGGTAACTCCATGCCATAATTTATAAAAAAAAAAAATGGCGTGGGGTTCCCCCCAAATCCATTACTAGACCCTTATCTGAGCACGCAGCCCAGCAGGTCAGGAAAGGGGGGGACGATTTCAATCTCTCCGATTACCGCCAGCGTTCCTGGCATGCACAATCAGCCTCTCTCACTGTTTGCCAAGCGTTGTGACGTTAAAGCCCCTCCCCTACGTGTTACACCACCAGGTCATTTTCCCTGATGAAGCCACATGACCCGTGAAATTGATTCTTGTACAAAGCACACATTATTAATACACATGTGATTGGAATACAGCATATTTTAAATACATTTTTTATAAGGATAAAGCATTATGTTTTGGTTATTTTTCTTGGCATCTGATTCGATGTAGGAGGATAACTAGAAGAGTGAAGGAGACCCACACCCATTGGACAGTAATCCCATCTCATCATAGCCCAATTAAAGGGACACATGCTTTATATGACCTCACTTAGCGGTTTGGTCATATACACAAGGTGAGAGTCAAGCTGGTGGAGGTGCACAAGTATTGGTTTGATTATATCACAAGAGGTGAACTGAGGAGCAATCTATCACCACACTACAGTGATAATAGTGAGTCACGGATTTTGTGTGGACACTTGAATAATTTGTTGAAAGACTTTATTTATTTGATTTGTTTATTTATTTGCTTGTTCATTTTTGGATAAAGTGGAGTGCGGCACTGTTTTGGTATTTATAGGTTTTTCACCTTCATGCATAGAGAAAAAAAAAACCTTCAGCCTTTACAACCACTTTAAGGTCATATACTATTTTTTATTTTTTGATAATGTAGGTTTCACAACACGCATTCACACATCTCAAAAACCTTTTATGACAGAAACTTAAGAACATCAAATTGTTTGCTACTGTGAGACATTCATTACTACAACCCCTAAAGCAAGTTCTGAAATGATCTCACCAAACAAGAAAGTTGACATTCCTCAATATCGGACAGGTCCTTCTGGGGGTGTGGTTTCTAACCATTTTATGATATATATAATAACCAGGATGCTGTACATTATATTCAGCAACACTAACTCTCCATCTGCTGGGTGACCAAGGCACAAGACTGCACCATGAAAGCCTCCTATTACCTAGCTCTGGTTGCCATCAACATCTTGCTGTTCCAGTTCACCTCTGCAGCTCCGGGTAAGTCTGCCTCTCTGTTCCAGGTGTTGAAATGTTTTTACTGGACAGCTGCCATTAGGCACGATTCACAGAGATGGATGAGCTATTTTAACTTTCAAAATGAACAATTAACTGTTAAAATCCTTATTTTCTCATAAACGGTTCTATGCCAGAATGTTTTTTTTTTTTATCTCCACCTCAAACCTTCCTTTCCTGCTCTTCTCAGTTGTCCCCCCAGTGAAATCCAGTTATCACCAGCCTAAAACTAGGGGTGTTTTAAGGTGTAATAACCAATGTGATTACATTGTGAGTTTTAAAGTGATTCTATCACTAAAATGAAAATTGGCAGTTGAATGTGTAGGCAGATGCAGTCCATTTTCTTCACTCTAGGTAGTACTGGACCACAGTGCCAAGGCAGGCGGGAGAGGAAGTGAAGGGAAACAGGGCCACACAGGGCAGCAATCCAGTTAAATGCACTGGCCCCATATGACCTTGGTGGCCCTCTTGGGTCAGGAAGACTCTATTTAGAACTCTGACCCTGGGTTTTGGCATGCTTTATGTGAGAGGCTAGTGTAGGATCAGGTCACCCATCTGTCACAGACAGTATTAGCAGCTGGGAACCGTTCTGGTGGAGTAGGGAAAGCGTAGGAACAATGTCTACCTTCTCAGGAAGTTCCCCATTGGGATGGACTGGCCAAGCCACACCCTGCTCAATGTGACAGATACTCAGTACCTACATCCCACTGTCTTCACACTGAACTGTTGTGAGTGCCTGACAGGTGAACCTGCCTGCTGGCCTTGTCTGTGTACTAGTTTTTCTATGCACCATTTCTGGCAAATCGGGGGTCTGTGTTCTTTCCGCTTGCCACACCACACTGCACCTACCTAACAAATGCATCGAAAAACAAAGGGTTGATTTACTAAAATTGGAGAGTGCAAAATCTGGTGCAGCTCTGCATGGAAAAAGATCAGCTTTCAGGGTTTTTTGTCAAAGATTAATTGAACAAGCTGAAGTTAGAAGCTGATTGGCTACCATGGACAGCTGCGCCCGATTTTGCACTTTCCACTTTTAGTAAATCAGCCCCAAAGTATTTTAAACTCTTATTTGCAGCTATTTTATTTTTCAAATATTATTTTCTGATTTCTGCAATCATGACTTTAAAATTGCTTGGTAATTCAACCACTCAATCCTCTAGAAATGTTTAAGATCCCTTCCCTCCATGTCATGGCTCTCTGCAGCCCTGACAGTGGAAGAAAGCTGCTGCCTCAGGATATCAGGACCACTGACATGCAGAAGTAAAGCCATAACTGGATTCTCCCTTGCCCAACACTTATGCGTGTCCTGTGTGACTTTGGGCGAGGGAGGATCTAATGTGAGGCTTCACATCTGGGTATGGGCTCTGTTGTCAGCAGTCCTGATATTCTGAGGCAGCAGCTTTCTTCCATTGGACTGTGCTATATCTTATTCCCATCCCCATGCCGGTGGCCAGGGATGAGTACATGGTCTTCACTCCACTGTTCCCCATCCTTAATAGACTCATGATTGCTTGTCTGCGCCAAGTCACTTTTGTGAGTGCATTTTTATGTTAATAAATGTTCATAACTATTTTTATATCCTGCCCATATGCTGTGCCTTGTTTTTATGTTTTTCATCAACAGAGTTTGCGCCTAATATGAAGGAGACAGAGGGGTTGATTAACTAAATCTGGAGAGTGCAAAATCTGGTGCAGCTGTGCATGGTGGCCAATCAACTTCTAACTTCACATTGTTCAGTTAAAGTGTTCCTAATCCCCGGCCCCTGCAGTCACTATATCTGGTCTCCCACAGTACACAGAACATGGGAATGCATATATGTTACTAAATATAAACTGCTAAATACCTTTTTGCTTCAGCAGTATATAGCAGTCTTGTGACTTCTATCAGTATTCAGCACTGGTTTAAGCTTGTAACAGGAGCTTTCTTTCTGCTCTAAGAAGATGCAGAACCCCTGACTTCTGTCTGGACAGTGCTGATTGGCCTTGCACTGATCACATGCACTCCCCCAAGGAAAAAAAAAAACCTCTCTATTGATACACATCAAACTGAGCATGTGCAGAGTGTCTCCACACAATATGTCTTATCAGGAGATAAGAGGGGGGCACTGGAAGAAGGGGAAGATCAGAGAAATCAGGATAAAACAGCATTTTTACACAGTGCAGAGGATTCACCCCTTATGTTCCACATTGAGTATAACAAGCATGCTTTACTGCAGTGTTTCTCAACCTTTTTTCAGTCAAACCACCCTTTGAAATTATGGAAAGTCCCGAGGCACCCCTTAAAAATATGGACAGTCTTGAGGCACCCCATTCTAAAATTCTAATAGTTTTATATAAACGCAGCACCATCCACACATGTAGGACACCCAACATTAGAGGCGATTTATTCTTCTAAAGAAAATACGCTTTTGCACACTGGTACTGACTAGTATTCCAATGTTTCTCTTCTTCGTCAGTTTTTTCTCCATCACTGAGCTAATGTGACCCCAGCACTGATGGAGAGGGGCAGGGGAGGGTCAAACAAGGATGCTGCGCAGGCAACTGACCTCCTCCTTATCAACTGATGATGTCATTGGTTGTCAGGACGCCAGGGGCTAGAAGGTCATAATGGTGCACAATGAAAATCTGTGGCTTTGTCTTTTCCACCTGCTGGATTGCATACAAGTTTTGGGCAATTTTTAGACAATTGCCAACGCACCCCTGAAGAAATCTCAAGGCATCCCAGGGTGCCAGGGCACCCTGGTTGAGAAAGGAAGCTTTACTGCACATACAGACTGATTTTACTGTTATGGGTTTAGTAACACTTTGAGCTTTGGAAATAAAACCTGGAAGCCGATTGGTTTCTATGCAGAGCTGCACCAGATTTTGCACTCTCCAGTTTTGGTAGTAAATCAATCCTATTGCTTCTTTTTTTTCTCCGATCTGATGAGGGCAGTTCTCCTGTTTGTAGACTGAAAATGCTAAAAAATATGAATTTGTTTCATTCTGGATAAGCATAGACTGTAGCAGAGCAATAACAATAATGTGCAAGGTTGGTATTGTTGTTATATGCTATAATAGTAACATTGTTCCCATCCAAAGTAAAATAAATAAAATAGTAATACAATAACGATGTTAAAATATTGCAATTTTTTTTAACAGAGTAGGACAGTGGTGCAATTCCTTTTCAATCTCCATCTTTACCTTTTCTATTATCTTTATTTTTCTCTAATTCATTCTTTCTTTTCCTCCTCTCACAACTTAATTTGTTGTTTTGCAGTCTTTAACTTTTATATATGTATCAATGAATAAATCCATTGTATGTTATCACTAATATACTATACATATGTAATTTTTTTTAGGTAATTTCTGCTCCTTATCACCAGATAAGGGTTCATGCACTAAACAAGAAATATACTTTGCCTATGATGCCAAGACAAATCTTTGCAGCCCATTTGATTACTCTGGATGTGGTGGAAATGCTAACAGATTCCCTACTCTTGAAGATTGTGAGGCTGCATGCAAAACAGGTATTAGTTAATGGGCTTTTTTTTAAAAAAAAAAAAAAACCAACTCACTTTGGCAAATGTTCACTCATTCAGCACTTTTGGGTTTCCACCCATAACCCTTTGCAGCCATCCAAGTATGGCTACAGTCATGTGAAAAACGTAAGTACACCCCCAATGGCAATTGTGTATATTTTCAACATGTTTGAACAAGCAAATATTAAATCTTGATTTAACCACTTGCCCTCCAGAGGATTTACCCCCTTCCTGACCAGGCCATCTGCGTTATGGCGCTGTGACAATTGCACTGTCATGCAACTCTGCACCTAAATTAAATTTACATCCTTTTATCCACAAAATAGAGCTTTCTTTTGGTGGTATTTGATTGCCTGTGCATTTTTTATTTTTTGCGCAGACTGATAATTTGGAGAAAAAAAACAATATTTTTGAATTTTTGCTATTAAACATATCCATTGTAAAAATTTAAAAAATCTAATTTCATCATAAATTTAGGCCAAAATGTATTCTGCTACATGTCTTTGCTAAAAAAAAATCCCAATATGTGTAAATTAATAGGTTTATGTGAAAGTTATAGCGTTTACAAGTGGCTGTATACCTACTGGGATTTTTTTTTTTTTAATTTTTTACTAGTAATGGCGGCAATCAGCGACTTATAGCGGGACTGCTGCACGGATTCTGACACTGGGGGGAACTGATTTGGTGTCACTGACATCCCCAGTGACACCAATACAGTGATCATTGCTAATAAAAAGCACTGACACTGTACTAATGGCACTGGGCAGGAAGGGGTTAACATGTGGGGCAATCAAAGGGGTTAACTGTGTGCTGTTTTACTATGTGCTGTGTGTGTGCTTCACTGTAAGCACACTGCTTTGCATGGCTCTGCTCACGCACCCCCAACCGGAAGTGAAAAATCACATAGATATTATTATTATTATTATTATACAGGATTTATATAGCGCCAACAGTTTGCTCAGCACTTTACAATATAAGGGAGACAGTGCAATTACAACACATTTCAGTACAGAAGGAATAGGAGGGCCCGGCTCGTGGAGCTTACAATCTAAAGGAAGGGGGAGGTGATACAAAAGGTGATAGCTGCGTAGGATGATCTGGCGGAGGTGATTCAAGTACAGTTCTTAGGTGGAGGTGGGGTAGGCTTCCCTGAAGAAGTGAGTTTTCAAAGATCGCCTAAAGGCAGAGAGGGTGGGGGCTGACCGGACATACTGTGGTAGGGAGTTCCAGAGGATGGGAGAGGATCTGGAGAAGTCCTGGAAGCGAGCGTGGGAGGAGGTGATGAGGGAGCTAGAGAGGAGGATATCATGGGAGGAGCGGAGTGGGTGATTTGGGCGGTATCTGTGGATGAGGTTGGTGATGTAGCTAGGGGCAGTGTTGTGGATGGCTTTGTAAGCTGTGGTTAGTATTTTGAATTTTATACGTTGGGTTAGCGGATGCCAGTGGAGGGATTGGCAGAGAGGGGCAGCAGTCGTTGATCGGTTGGTAAGGTGTATGAGTCTAGCAGCAGCATTCATAATAGACTGAAGGGGGGATAGCCTGTGTAACGGTAGACCAGTGAGGAGGGAGTTGCAGTAATCAAGGCGGGTTATAACCAAGGCGTGAATAAGTTGTTTTGTGGTTTCATTGGTCAGGAAGGGGCAGATTTCTGAAATGTTCCAGAGGTTGAGGTGGCAGGATTTAGCCAGTGAGTGTATGTGGGGTCCAAAGGAGAGGTCAGAGTCTAGGATTACGCCTAGCACCCTGGCATGAGGGGAAGGACCAATGGTTGTGCTGTTGATCTTAATGGTAATGTCATGAGTGGGGGATCGGGGAGGAGGAAATATTACAAGCTCAGTTTTTGAAAGATTGAGTTTAAGGTAGTGATGTGACATCCATGCTGATATGTCGCTTAGTAGATTTGTGATATGTGAGGAGATTGAGGGGGTGAGCTGGGGAGTGGAGAGATAGATCTGGGTGTCATCAGCATAGAGGTGGTATTGGAAGCCATGGGAGGTTATCAGTTGGCCCAGGGAGGAGGTGTAGAGAGAGAAAAGGAGGGGCCCAAGAACAGAACCTTGGGGTACCCCAACAGAAAGAGGAAGCATAGCAGAGGGGAAGTTGTATGTGACACTGAAAGTGCGCTGAGAAAGGTAAAAGGATAACCAGGAGAGAGCAGAATCACGGAGGCCGATGGAGTGAAGTTTACTGAGGAGGAGCGGGTGGTCGACTGTGTCAAAGGCAGCGGAAAGGTCAAGGAGTATGAGTATGGAGTAATGGCCGTTGGTTTTAGTAATTAGTAGGTCATTAGTGAGTTTTAGTAGAGCAGTTTCTGTGAAATGTTGTGGGCGGAAGCCACATTGTCAGAGATATATACGTGATTTTGTGCACCCCTGCCATCCTGTAGCAGTATATCTCTATAGGTTGGCAGGAAAACAGTTAAACAGTGCCTAGAGTACTTACAATGTAACAAAGGCAATATCTTTTTTTAGTTTTGGATGGCGTGGAGAGGGATTAGAACACCTCTCAGCTCTTTTTTTTTCTGTCCCCATTAGGGAGATTCACCCTCTCTATTTGTCCTGTTTAGTGCTATCAACAAAACTGAAAATAAAAGAAATTTTCAAATTGTGGGGTGACACCAGCATAGTAATAGAGAAGAAATCTTCCAATGGGGTCACTAGTTCTGGTAACACATTGGAATTCCCTCAATTTGGAAGGATTTTCTCTTACTTCCTGCTTTAGCTATGGGATAGGAAGTAAAGGGAAATCTCTCTTATTGGACACAAATGGCAAAAAAATGACAGGGGTTATAGTCTTCTTTTAATGTAAAATGAAAAAAAAAAAAAACGTTTTGCCTTTAGTTACACTTTAAACTAATAAGGCATATAAATGGCATAGCTCAGTTGATTTACTAAAACCAGAGAGTGCAAAATCTGGTGCAGTTCTGCACAGAAACCAATCAGCTTCCAGGTTTTATTGTCAAAGCTTAACTGAACAAGCTGAAGTTAGAAGTTGATTGGCTCCCATGCGCAGATGAACCAGATTTTGCACTCTCCAGTTTTAGTAACCCCAATGTGTTCATTTTCATGATCTAAATTGTTGAAAAAGACCCCTATTTATCACCACTTCAGATCCATCAAAACAGGTGCCAAATGTTAGAACTCTTTTAGGTCTAGTTTATACTTGGGGTTGGTGGGAAAAAACAGCAGTTGAACATATAGGCAAAGACCAGGCTTTCTGAAACAATGTACTGAAAGCTGAATAATCAAAGATAAAGTTGTTTGATCAAAGTACCTAAAGAACAAAGGTATACCGCTCAGGTAAACAATCCAGATCAATCCACAACAGGTGCAGGCTCTGGCTCACCATCACACACTATGTAACAGGAAGAAGAGTCAGCCGCACACTGGAGGATAGATGAATATAGTGTGTATTTATTGATCCATAGGACACACAAAACACCAGGACATGAATACAGGACCTCACGCTTAATCATAACCATTGTTATCATAACAATTTTTCCTTCAAAATGAAGACAGCATTACAGGAGAAGAACTTTATCACAACTGTGAAGCATGGTGGTGGATATGTTATGGTTTGGGGATGCTTCAGAGCCTAGGTAGTGCACCTTCATTGAGTGGACAACTGTATACATTTAATTTTTATACCAAGTGTGCATGAAGATAATACAAGGCCATCTGTCCAAAAGTTGAAGTGGAGCCAGAAATCCACTAGTAAGTCCACCAAGGAATGTCTAAACAAAAAGAAATGTAAGGTTTTAGACTGCCCTAGTCAAACACTGATTTGATTCCTATTGAAATTATATGGGGAGGTTGAAAGGTACATTCCCCACAAAGAAAATCTACAAACATTGCAACTGAAGGAATTTTGCAGGGAGAAGTGGTCAATGTCAGAGATTGGTGGGTGGTTAAAATGCCTACAGGATGGACTTTCTGCTGATGAAACCAACTCCAGGTTTCATGTTAAGAGTAAAATTAGTTTTTTCCACACTATACACATAATAATATTGAGATTATGTTATATAAATAATAGGAAAGACATTTTCTTCAGTTCTTATTCATGTATATCACCTTTACCTGTAGACACAGTTTGAATAAAGATCTAAAGTTTGTTCAAATATGTTGAAAGAGTCAACACTATGAGGTGTACCTAATTTTTCACATGACTGTCTTTCTTTTAACCGCTTCCCACCCAGCCTATAATCAAATGACGGCTTGGAGAACCTCTTGTCCCTCCGGGAGGGCATCACATGACGTCTTTTCCAGATTGCACTTTGAGCCTGCCCGCAGGGCCGCTCTGTAATGAGATCTGTCACAGGCCATGTACCTCAGACACGGCCAGTGACAGATCTGTGTACCGGCCCCATTGCCAGTACCATGTGACCTGCTGTGACCAATCATAGCAAACCACAGGACAGTTGTATACAATGGATGGTTTCCTTTCATGCCATCCTTTGTATACACCTGAGTCTAGCTGTGAATGGTCACAGTGATCACATGCACAGGCTGGTCCAGTTACAGCCCATCTGTGTCATGTGATTAGCCATGGCTAATCACAGCTAACCCCAACACAATAACCTGAATTAATTGATTTCATTCAGTTACATGCTTGCTTATAGCAAAGAAATCCTCCAAGGTAAGTATTTCTCCATCACAGAAAGGCTAGTATGTGGTCCTTCAATGATGTGTCCTGAAAAGGAGAGCTCAGCAAATGGGAGGAGATGGCTGGGAGCAAGTCGGTACTGTTCGTGTGTCTAGGTCACATTTGCTGGTCTCCAATAGCTGAAGCAGTGTTCCAGAAGTTGGTATCTGATCAGGGTGTATCACATGACCTCTCCCTTTTGAGGACACATCATTGAAGGATCACATACTAGTTTTTCTGTGAAGTGGTGGAGGATTTCACGGATGTCTTCTTTTCCACATTGGGATGTCACTTCACTCTCATTGAGATGTCACTTTATGGAGCACTTTTTGTGCTGAAGGACATTTGATTGAAGACTTTTCTATACATTTACTTTTACCTTTAACCCCTTGCCTACCGGGCACTTACACCCCCTTCCTGCCCAGGCCAGTTTTCAGCTTTCAACACTGTCACACTTTGAATGACAATTGCGCAGTCATGCAACACTGTACCCATATGAAATTTTTATCTTTTTTTTTAGACAGATAGAGCTTACTTTTGATGATATTTAATCGCCTCTGGGTTTTTTATTTTTTGCTAAACAAACCAAAAACCACTGAAATTTTTTTTGAGAAAAAGTTTTTTCTTAGTTTTTGTTAGAAAATGTTGTAAATAAGTGATTTTTCTCCTTCACTGATGTGCGCTAATGAAACTGCAGTGATGGGCACTGATAGGCTGCACTGATGAACCCTGATAGATGGCACTGATGGGCACTGATGAGGAGGCACTGGATTGGTGGCACTAATGGGTATTGACAGGCATCACTGATGGGCACTGAAAGGCGGCACTGACTGGCACTGATAGGTGGCACTGACTGACACTGTTAGGTGGCGATGACTGGCACTGATAGGTGGCACTGACTGGCACTGTTAGGTGGCGCTGACTGGCACTGTTAGGTGGCACTGATAGGCAGCACTGATGTGCACTGATAGGCTGCACTGACTGGCACTGATAGGCGGCACTGATTGGCATTAATAGGTGGCACTGACTGGCACTAATAGGTGACACTGAAAGCAGTTCAGATGGGCACTGATATGTGGCATTGATGTGCACTGGTAGGCACTGATATGTGGCATTGATGTGCACTGGTAGGCACTGATATGTGGCATTGATGTGGCACTGATGGACACTGACAGGTGGCACTTCTGGGGCTACACAGATCATCAGGGCACACTCATCATCAGTGCCCCGATGATCAGTGTAGATGTCCCCTCTGAGTAAAGCCGATTATCGGCTCTCCTCTGTCAGCGTGACAGCTCATGAGGAGAGAAATGCCGATAACCGGAATTTCCCTATTTACATGTGATCAGCTGTGATTGGACACAGCTGATCACATGACCGAGCCGAGAGCTTCAGCTCTTTCCGTTGATCGGTGATCTGCTGTGTCCAATGTTTAATCGGATGTTTAACATTAGATGTTTAATTATCTATTCAAGTTTTTATGATTGCACATTTATATTGTTTTTGGTGTGTCACAACACTCATTGGTTGCAAAGTATATCAGATTGCATACGAATTGTATGATTTTTAGTCACATAGTCCAGCACTTTTATTTTTGTTTATTGTGTTATGGAGTGGGTTCACCATTTGTGCTAGCTGCTTTTTGCGACTTTTTTCCTCTTAGCGCTCACTTGCCTTTGCTTTTTCAGTTGAAAAACATAAAACTAAGAAAAAAAAATTAAGAAAAATGCATTAAAAACTATTTTATGTTTTCTTTAAAGGAGACCTCGGTGGAGATGAAGTACCACAAATCAGGCTTGCCGTTTGTCTGCCTATTTCTCGGTGTATTTCTCGGTGAGAAAGCAGTGAAGCCATCAGATCAGCAGACCAGTATTTTCAGATGAGTGGTCAGCAATGGCAGTCTCCATAATTGTGCATTACTTTTTTCTTTTAAAGTGTATGTAAGGGCTCTTTTTTTAGTTTTCTATTGGACAAGGAGGGAGTAGAACTCCTGTCATGTTTTTATTGCTGTCTGTGTCCCGCTGGAGAGATTGTGTATAATATGAATGATCATTTGGATATTGAGCTGGAAAGAACTAAAATAATTCATTTTATATACCAGCAGTGTTAGTGGCCGGTCAATAAATGTGTAATTATAACTTGTATTATGTGGTGGGGATTATATTGTTCTGTTATGCCTCTATGATCTATAGTTCTGCTGTTAAGTGAACAATGCTGGTTAATGACCTATTGAAATAAAAAATACATACAATACTCAAAAGGATACTAAGAATATCTCTACTTTACTGCCTCATACTTTCTGTATTTCTATACACAAAGAAGATGTGTGATTCATTAAAGTGTTACTAAACCCAGGACCCTGCATTCACTATATCTGATCTCCCCAGACCCTGCATTCACTATATCCGGTCTCCCCGGACCCTGCATTCACTATATCCGGTCTCCCCGGACCCCGCATTCACTATATCTGATCTCCCCGGACCCTGCATTCACTATATCTGGTCTCCCCAGACCCTGCATTCACTATATCTGGGCTCCCCGGACCCTGCATTCACTATATCCGGTCTCCCCGGGTTCCTGCATTCACTATATCTGGTCTCCTCAGACCCTGCATTCACTATATCTGATCTCCCCGGACCCTGCATTCACTATATCTGGTCTCCCCGGACCCTCCATTCACTATATCTGGTCTCCCCGGACCCTGCATTCACTATATCTGATCTCCCTGGACCCTGCATTCAGTATATATGGTCTCCCCGGACCCTGCATTCAGTATATCTGTTCTCCCCGGACCCTGCATTCACTATATCTGGTCTCCCCGGACCCTGCATTCACTATATCTGATCTCCCCGGACCCTGCATTCAGTATATCTGGTCTCCCCGGACCCAGCATTCAGTATATCTGGTCTCCCACAATACACACAATGCAATTATTTTAGCATATATAAACTGCTAAATACCTTTTCTCATCAGCATTTAGAACAGACTTGTGACTTCTATCAGTGTCCAGCACAGCACTGGTTAATATTGTAGGAGGAGATTTCATTCTCTTCTGACTGCCCTAGGAGGCTGCATGACCCCTGACCCTCTTTCTGGACAGTGCTGATTAGCCCTGTGCTGATCACATGCACCCTCCAAAATAAAAAAACTCTCTAGTGATCCACACCAAACTGAGCATGTGCAGAGTTTCTCTTAGGGCTCTCTGTACTATCAGCAGATGGACTGAGGACAGAAAAAGAAGAATAGAATCAGGGAAGACAGGATCAAACAGTCTTTTTATATAATGCAAAGGATTAACCGCTTAGGTTCCACAGGGAGTATAATAAAAATGCTTTACTACAGGGGTCTCCAAACTTTGCTGCCCTCTAGCTGTTGAAGTACTACAAGTCACATCATGCCTCTGCCTCTGGGAGTCTTGTCTGTGGCTGTCAGAGTCTTGCAAAGCCTCATGGGACTTGCAGTTCCTCAACACCTGGAGGGCCATAGTTTGGAGACCCCTGCTTTACTACATATACAGACTGTAACACTTTAAAGACTTTCTGTGCTAGAGCTACAGCTTCATTGATGGTATAAATTATTGGGTACAATCTTGTGCCAAAGCATAAATATTTAAGAGATATACAGTATAGCTTTGGTTGCTTAAGGGGCACAATTATCCCTTCTTATTAAATACATACACACCATTTACCAAAAATGGGATGTTTTTAGATACCTACTCATACAAAATTTTCACAGGATTGTTAAAATTCTAATGTTTATTGTGGCCATAAAAATATTAAAAAGTGTATACAAAATCTACTTCTAAAAGCATGTTTCACAGTGTATTGTAGTTGTTCCCCCTTCGCAAAATATATATACTGATTGACACTCTCCTTGAACAGTTGTATGAACTTGATATTTTGGAAGCTTCAGGGAGAGTTCCAAGATATCTCACGCAACGTGTTTTGTGGGTACCAAGACAACACTTCTTCACGTGATGAGAAACTCTAAATCACAAGTTTGTAATCACCTAACAATATTTAGACGATAAAACTCTTCTGTGAAAACAATGTTTAATTTTTAATGGGCATTGGGTGAACTGCCACATTTAGGTATTCATCTAACTTCAGCACTCCACACATTATATGAAAAAAATACTCTCCACTATATAAAAAAAACTGACAGAGGATAAGGAAAAATGGAGAATCATCCCTCCCTCTAGGATGGTAGAAATTATACCATTAAAATTTCCTTCCAAGATTTATGTATTTATTTAAGACATTACCTATTAGATTTCTAAACAGGATCTCAAAAGATTAAGACAAAACACTCAAATTTATATGGGGAGATAAGAGACCCAGGGGCTATTCACTAAAGGTTACCCCATGTGATAACAGGGTCACGTGACTTATTTGCATAAATTATTGAATGAGATAAAAAAGAGTCAGTTCTTCAAAGTGAAATATTGAATGTGAGGTAAATACTGCACAGTTCTTAAATTAGTGAGATAAATACCACAAAAAAACATAATGAGATAAATCATTAAAGTCAATTAATTAAAAAATGACATAACATTCGTTATTTATCACCAGATGTTTGCTGGCGGTATTTTAGAAATGTAGAAAATAACAGAGGAGCTCTGCACTGGCCAGAAAGTGAAAAATATACAATGTATCAGTGTAAAAATGTTCTCTGAGCTCAGGAAGGGAAATAAATTGTAACATTTTTCATCAGAGGGAGATCATTTTGTGAATGAAAGCGCACTACAATGTTTTCATAGTTTCACAGAATTGCTGTGTGCATTCTGGTGCAATGTTAGCCTGCAAAAAAAAAAAACTAAAATAAAACAACCAAAAATAATGCCAAATTTAAGCTAAATATCGAAAAACATAGATATTTAATGTATTGGTTAAATAACATGTCTTTTAGTGAATTACCTACTTTTGAAATAAATACCGCATGAGTTATTTTAATTTAAAAATTCATGCAGTATTCATCTCTTAGTGAATTGACCCCCCAGAGTGAATAAACTTACCTTAAATACTCTAAAACAAAAAGGGGGTCTAGGAGATTGAAATTTACTTAAATATTTTCAGGCTACACAACTAGCACAGCTAGTTGAATTTCATTCAAATAATCCTCTCCCTACATGGATGCAAATAGAATCATCCTCTTGTATCCCTAAATTGAATAATCACCTTAAGTGGTTTCCTAAAAGATAGAAATCACCCCAAAAAAATATTTTGTTTCTCATGAGCAATACCGTATATACCTAATCCCCCCTAAACTAGTGAAAGCTGCTCACACACTACTCGCATACTCATAACATGTGCGTAAAAATATAAAGTAAATATACAGTGCAGCACTTCTCTAGGTCAAAAAATGCATGCGTCCCAAGAATTGGACATACTGGTGAAACTCGAAAAATTAGAATATCATGCAAAAGTTCATTTATTTCAGTAATGCAACTTAAAAGGTGAAACTAATATATGAGATAGACTCATTACATGCAAAGCAAGATAGTTCAAGCAGTGATTTGTCAAAATTGTGATGATTATGGCTTACAACTCATGAAAACCCCAAATCCACAATCTCAGAAAATGAGAATATTGTGAAAAGGTGCAATATTCTCGGCTCAAAGTGTCCCACTCTAATCAGCTAATGAAACCATAACACCTGCAAAGGGTTCCTGAGCCTTTAAATGGTCTCTCAGTCTGGTTCAGTAAGAATCCACAATCATGGGAAAAACTGCTGACCTGACAGTTGTGCAGAAAACCATCATTGACACCCTCCATAAGGAGGGAAAGCCTCAAAAGGTAATTGCAAAAGAAGCTGGATTTCCCCAAAGTGCTGTATCAAAGCATATTAATAGAAAGTTACGTGGAAGGGAGAAGTGTGGAAGAAAAAGGTGCACAAGCAGCAGGGATGACCGCAGCCTGGAGAGGATTGTCAGGAAAAGGCCATTCAAAAGTGTTGGGGACTTTTTTGGACTGAGGCTGGAGTTAGTGCATCAAGAGCCACCACACACAGACAGATCATGGACATGGGCTTCAAATGTCGTATTCCTCTTGTCAAGCTGCTCCTGAACAACAAACAACATCCGAAGCGTCTTTCCTGGGCTAAAGAAAAACAGACCTGGTCTGTTGCTCAGTGGTCCAAAGTCCTCTTTTCTGATGAGAGCAACTTTTGCATCTCATTTGGAAACCAAGGACCCCGAGTATGGAGGAAGAATGGAGAGGCACACACTGCAAGATGCTTGAAGTCCAGTGTGAAGTTTCCACAGTCTGTGTTGATTTGGGGAGCCATGTTATCTGCTGGTCATTAAGTCCAGGGTCAACGCAGCCGTCTACCAGGAAATTTTGGAGCACTTCATGCTTCCTTCTACAGACGA